CTACCTCAAGACCCAGCTATACCACTATTGGGCATATACCCAAAGAATGCTCAATCATACCACAAGGACACTTGATCAAGTATGTTTAAAGAAGCTTTATTCATAATAGCCAGAACTTGGAAAGGACCTAGATGCCCCTCAACTGAAGAATGGATAAAGAAAATGTGGTACATTTACACAATGGAGTATTACTCAGCTGTTAAAAATAAATAACATCATGAAATTTACAAGCAAATGGATGGAACTTGAACAAAAATCATCCTGAGTGAGATAACCCAGACCCAGAAAGACAAACATGGTATATACTCACTTATAAGTGGATATTAGCTGTAAAGTACAGGATAACCAGGCTACAATCCACAGCCCCAGAGAGGCTAAATAAGGTAGGGTGGGCTGGGGGGGGGGGGGATACATGTATCTCCCTGAGACGGGAAAACAGATTTTGTGGGTGGACTGGGGGTAGTGGGTATAGAAACAGAAGGGACAGATGGGGAAAAGAGAACTAGAAGAGATGACTGGAATTGGGGAATTGGGGGGTTAAGGCAGACACCTAGTGCAGTGGAAACTGCCAGGAATCTATTAGGGTGACCCTAGCTAAGACTCCTAGTACTAGGGGATACAAAGCCTGAACTGGACATCTTTTATAACCAGGCAAGTAGAGGGATTGGGACACCAACCTAGCCACAAAACATTTGAAATTACAAATTTGTCCTGCCTGCAAGATGTGCTGGGGTAGCCGGGCGGTGGTGGCGCACGCCTTTAATCCCAGCACTCGGGAGGCAGAGCCAGGCGGATCTTTGTGAGTTCGAGGCCAGCCTGGGCTACCAAATGAGTTCCAGGAAAGGCGCAAAACTATACAGAGAAACCCTGTCTCGAAAAACCAAAAAAAAAAAAAAACAAAAAAACAAAAGATGTGCTGGGGTAAAGGTGATTGTAGAGTGGCCAACCAATGACTGGTCCAGCTTGAGACCCATGCCATGACAAGAAGCCCATGCCTAACACTACCTGGTACCTGGAGGGCATGAACCAGAGGCTGGATAGCCCCGAGATCTAGGATAAAACCAAATATGACCAGAAAAAAACAAGTCAATGAAATAATTACTAATGATACTCTGTGATACTTACAGACCAGAGCCTAGCATAACTGTCATCAGAGAGGCTTCATCCAGCAACTGATGGAAACAGATGCAGAGACCCACAACCAAGCATTAGGTGTAGCTTGTGGAAGAGGGGGAGGAAGAATAGTAGGAGCCAGAGGGGTTAAAAAAAACCCATAGAATCAACTAGCACAGGGGCTTCACAGAGACTGAACCAAGAATCAGTGATCCTGCATGGGTCTGACCGAGGTCTTCTGCATATATGTTACGGTTGTGTAGATTGGTATTATTATAGGACTCCTAACAGTGGGAGTGGGGGCTGTCTCTGACTCTTTTACCTGCTTTTGGGGCCCTTTTCTTCCTACTGGGTTGCCCCATCCTGCATTAATATGAGGGGATGTGCCTAGTTTTATTGCAACCTGATATGCCATGTTTAGTTGATATCCCTGGAAGGCCAGCCCTTTCTGATAAGAAAAGGAGGAAGAGTGCATCTGGGAGAAAAGAGAGGTGGGCAGGGAGCTGGGAGGAAAGGAAGGAGGGGAAATTTGGGTAAAGATGTACTATATGAGAGGTGTGTGTGTGTGTGTGTGTGTGTGTGTGTGTGTGTGTGTGTGTGTGTGTGTGTGTGTGTGTGTGTCTATAATCTCAGGATCTGGGACACTAATGCAGGAGAATCATGAGTTTGAGGTCAACCTGAGGTACATAGAGAAGCCCTGTTGCAAACAAAACAACAAAACGAACAAACAAACAAAAACAGAGGAAGGGGGAGGAGAGAAGAGGGGTCAGGAAGAAGGGAAGGGTTAGAGAAGAGAAAATAAGTACTGGAGAGAGTACAGAGAAAAGGGAACCTTTGTAATGTCCTTGGGAATATAAATTGGCAAAAACACTTAGAAATACAACTACAGAATCATGCCTAATCCCACTTGTGAGTAAATATCCAAATGAAATTAAATCGATATATTGAATCATACCAGCATTATTCACAATAGCTAATCTATAGCAACAATTTAAGTGTTCCTTAACTGATGATTAGATACACACACACACACACACACACACACACACACACACACACACACACACACACACACAAACGATACAACATAAAAATCCATAAAAAGGAAAGGAAAAGAAGACATGAAGTTGGGAGGGTTTTTTTTTTTTTTTTTAGGGAATCTGGAGGGGGATGTGGAAGATGAGAAATGGTGGACAGAAACGATCATATAACATTGTACAGATTGTATATAAAATTGTCAATGAATTTTTTAAAAGGAAAAGAAATCAAGCCATTTCTAGCATCATGAATAAATCTGTAGGGTATTATGCTATGTGAAATGAACCAGTGAGAGAAAAACAAATACTGTAATGTGTTTATTTAGAGATAAAACTTCAACCTCATATAAACATAGTGTGCCTAGGGTTAGAAAGTAGGAAAAAGGAGAAGGTATTGTCAATTGGTACAAACATTCAATTATGAGAAGAAATAAGTTCTGGATATCTAATGTACTGGCACTGGTCAGTAGTGTTTGGTTTGTTTGAAACTTGTAAGTCAGCACATATTAACAACACACACGCATGCACACATGCATGCTCACACCCATGCACGCATGTTAATGGTGTGGTAATAGATATGTTCACCCATTTAACTGTGGTAATCATTACACAATATGTATGCATATTAAACAAATGGTTAAAAGTATACAACTTGTATATTCACAATCTGGGTTTTAGCAGTTGGATCCAAGGCTGAACACTTCTAAGGAAGCATTCTATCACTGAGCTACAGCTGCAATCCATCATTTATCAGTAAATTATATGCCTCAGTAAAGTCCCTAAGAGTTTTCCCCTTAACTGTTGACTGAACAAAAAAGTAAGAGAGGTTCACAGAGAAATCAAAACAAGAAATCGATATATTAACACTTCAACTGATTTTCCAGGGGAAAAAAAAAACTGTTACTTCAGAGATAACTTACATACCATAATTTCGGCTACTGCAAAAATAAAACAGGTAACAATTATACAATAAATTAAGATGTAAATAAAAAAAGACACTAGCTTTACTGTATATAAGAACTCTTAGTGGTGTTTTCTCTAACACTCTGTGAATCACAGTGTTAAGAGAGAGGGGGAGGAAGGGAGGGAGAGGAAGAGACAGAGACAGAGAGACAGAGAGAGACAGAGACTAAGGAAAATAAAAATGGGGGTTTTATGACATACTAAGCCCAGCAGAGGGACACACAGCAGTCTACTTCAGTTCTTGCACTTTAAGAATTTAAAAATGGCTGGTATGAGAATATTTTCTATATGATACAAATACTTCCTGTTTATATATCCACTATTTTAAAGATTGTGTCTCTAATGTGTTGCTGTGTTTGCTCATTATTTGTACTACTATATTCTAGTCTGTCTTCCTGGAGTTAAATTACTTACCTGTGCTTTCTCCCAGATTCATTATACTTTCTAATTAAGTCGATATAAGAAATGGACTTGTTTCCTTTACTTTACATTTTGTTTTCAGTGAAATATCATTACTTAATATATACTAAATGGCAATGCCAGGACTTATGATATTTTTTTAAAAGTTCAACTAACAAAAAATATAATGGTAATTTACAGATATTTATCATGGGCTTGTTTATTGTATTCATTTTTAATTTATACACATAATTAGAAAAGCATATGCACAAATTATATTTACAAAATAATTTAAAATTATTTTCATTTAGAAAAGACTTGAGAATTAAATTCTCATCAAGTAATTTAACTAAATCATTTGAGTAACCATTTCATCAGAAGTCAATATTCAAAGTTTGGTTTTAAACCACATAATCTACTTATATCAAATTTTGTTTTAATCTGCATTTTTCTATAAAATTACAATAAGTAAACCACAGAAACACAAAGGCATGTTTAATAGAAGCTTGGAATAGAGAATCAGCTTAGGGTAGAAGCCTATTAGGGATAGAATTAGTCAACATTTGACCTAATGGTCTAAGTATGGCCTTATTGCTAGCTAGGGTAAAAATTTCAAAGAGACTGCCGAGTTTGGGGCCTAAAAATTCAACAACCCTTTAAATCCATACTATCGTATTTCTATAAACCAATACTGCTAAAATCATTCTAGGACACTGAGATTTTGTATGTATTTTCACTTAAAACCGGAGATCACTCTTTCAAAATCACTGTAATATTGTTGATGATGTTAATATATGCGACACTCTTATTTGTATGGGGCAATTCATTTCCTCTTCACAGCAGTAGCTTGTACTAACACAATCATTTTTCTTTCATTGCTCACTAATAAGACAGTAATTCCCATGAGAATCCTACTGAGAACACAAGTTTTTAAGTATAATAAGCCAAAGGATGCTTCACTTTATTTAGAATGATTCTCATGTACATTTTATCTGCAGAAACATTAACACCAAAATGTTTTCTTTCCTATATATGATAAACTGCTTATCATTAGAAATGTGTAAAACGGAGAAATAAATTTAGATAGGCAGATACTAGGCACACCTCTCTAGAAAATAAACAGAACAATTTAGCAAAATATTCTCCTTTACCCAAAACCTGTTAACCTTTCATTAGAAACCCTTCCAAGGTGCTATTTTTAAGTCTGTAATGTCTGGAATTAGAGACATTAATGGCAACCACAGTGTGAATTCCAGTACACTGTAATATGAGTCCACACACTCTTCTTCAAATACTGATTGTTAAATGGACTCTGACAGGAGACACTTTCATGTATTGGTAACTGGCACCGCTAGATATCAAATAACCTACCCCTCTTCAACACAGTACCACTGACCAATCAGCACATACATTAGAAAAAGTCTCGATGTCTCATTCATAAATTATAATCTTTATGAAATCCAAATGAAGCCTGTAGGGACACAGTACCTTTCATGATGTCCTAAATCCAAAAGAATTTCATCTGCATGTCTTTGGAGTTCATTTCCTTCTAAATTCTTTAATTTCTTCAATTCACTTTGTAGAAAAAACCAGAGCTCTTTAGCTCCATTTTCAATCCTCCTTCTTAAGATTTCATGATCCTTCCCTAGACCTGCAGAGAACAGAAAGTATGAGTATTTCTAACATTTTGGTGAGAGAAATTTTCAATATTTATGCTAAAGTCACTATGTTAAAATGGAAAAGAATGTGCATAACCACATACCATTTCTGGCTTGTTTCTTGTAATTTTCAATCTGTTCTTTGGCCTTAATAAGCTGTTCTTCTAAAACACGGACTCTTCCTGTAGCTGTCCCCTGATCAATAGGGCCTTCCGGTATTCTGTAGTTCAGAGATGGAAAAGTGAACATTTGTCTTTTATATTACACAAGAAAACACATGTGTACTTTGCTAAACCATACTTATTAGTATCTCTATAGCATACCAAAAAGAGTTACAAGTGAATCTTTTCAACTGTATAGGATTAATCATAAGGACTGGCATGAGAATGAACAAGACCAGAAATGAATTATATAGTTGAGATATCAGATCTCCTGAGAGCTCAGAAGTCTTTAGAGCTGCTTCCTAAAAAAACTTTCTCCTTATTTGGGCAAAATGGTCAATTTTGTAGTGGTGATAAAATTAGCAAAGATACAGGAGAAGGTGAAATGACTTAGAGAGAATAAGTAACATGCATCTGAAAGTTCTCTACAGATACATCAAATATCAAAGAAAGCAATTCTGCTTTAATCTCAGTATCCGGTTAGATGGCTGCTTCAACTAGTGAATTCACAACTAGCAATGGTTTTATAGGAAAGGGAAAGATAAGACAGAAGAGAAATACAGTAGAAAGCATGGAGATTGTCTCCTTTATTTCTGTCTGAGACAAACAAACAAAATCGTTCAGTAATATAAACTGTTGAAAAATAACACAAGAACTCCAGGATCTTTTACTTACATTATCAACCTATCTGTTCTACTTCTTTCCAAACTTGACTAATTTCTAACACGCTTGCTTTTTTATGTGACTTTTACCAGTACTCTGTACTCCATTTTGGCCTAAATACATAAATAAAACTTAGTGATGGGCTAAACACTGTTATTTAAAAGATATTTACATCTTCATTTCTGGAATTTACAAATACTACTTTATACGGCAAAAGAAAATTTGGAGTATGTGCTTAAGGATCCTGTGACCTGGGGACTGTCCAGTGAGGTGTAGGTGGGTGGTAAATGTAATCATGAATATCCACAGAAGAGAGAAAAATAGGGAGAATTTGCTACAGATAGAAAGGGGTATGTGGCTGCTTGCATTTAAGATGCAGGAAGGATCTGGGAGTGAGAAATGCATCCTTTTGGAAACTGGAAAAGGTAACATTTTTCTCTTGGAGCATCCCTGTGAAATACTGCCCTTAAACACCTTGGTTCCAGCTCAGTGGAAATCACTTCTGACTTCTTACTTCCAAAATGATAACAGGAAAAAAAAAAGCCTGTTATTTAAAGATAGCAGCTTTCTATATTTATCGTTAACACCCATAGGAAACACACACACACACATATTGTTTTGCAAAATTGTGAATATTAAATAATGAGTTGATTCTTATTTGAAAGTCTAATTATAAAGAAGAAAATTTATCTACTCTTATCATCACTGCCTTCTGTAGGAACTTAATTTCTAAGTTATATGTGATGGAACCTAACCTGAGACAGCATTACAATCCTTTGGTACAAATGTGACAAAACAGGTACTTTACAGCTTTTTAAACATTGTACAGAACGGATGAGGCCAAATTCATTATTAATTACCTACAGTACTTCAGAATGTGTTTCATGTTAAGTTATTGTTTTATCTATAGTAATTAGAACTGTACAGGAAACTGTATGCAACATCAGACAGAAGAATTAAAATAACCATCTACCATACATGTGTCTAAAGATATAGAATATCAATAAAAAAGCTTTCATTTGTATATGCACAAAGCGAACAATAGTAAAATGAAAATAAGTATATAACTAATTTATAAGCACTTAAATATGCATATACATAAACAAGGTATGCACTGATATATAATTTTTAAAATCTGATCCTTCATCCCTTTCAAAATTAGATGGTTCATTTCTCAGAAACCATGTAAAAAGAACAAAATGAACAAAAATCCTTCTAACCCTTGAGATTTATTGTAGAGGCACTGTGCCATGCACAGGGATGTTCATGATCAGAACACAATTTAGAGATAGAAAAATTCAAACAACAGAAAGATTATCTCTGGGCTCTTCTTATCTCATTTTTTCCTATACTGCTGGAATAATACCAGGGACAAAATAGACATTAAAAAATAATATGCACTCTTTTCAGTAGATTTTCATCAAGTATTAAATCCAATCTAATTCTAATAAAAATAGAATGGAAATGGTGATTTACATCACATTATTATATATAATTATATAATCCAACTGTGAATACACTGTAGATAAAGAAAAAAATTAAAAAAAGAAAAGCACAAAGACTTTTCCTCCAAAACACCATCTATAAATGTTTATCTGCATGAACAGTTTTTTTTTAAGCTTGAGAACAGAATAATCTCCTATCGCATTCACTATAAAAAAGATACATAGGACTTCTACTTCCTACTATGGTAACATTAAAAGAAACCAGATTTATTATCATGTCTGAAATTAATCAAAACCCAAACTATGTATATATATATTTACCTGCACGTGTGCGCGCACGCGCGCACACACACACACACAGACACACATACACACACAACCAAGATAGAGAGAGTGAATAAAAGAGATATAAAGGGGACACTCTAAGGACCAGAGCAATGGCTCAGTAGTTAAGAGCATTACTGCTGCTGCAGAAGACACGGGTTTAATTCCCAACACTCACGTTATGGCTCACAGCAGTGCATAGGTCCAGGTCCAGAGGATCTGACACCCTCTTCTAACCTCCCAGGGAACCAGGCATACATGTGGTGCACAGACATACATGCAAACAAAGTACTCGCATGTAAAATAAAATTTTAAAAAGACAATATAAAAATATATTAAAAATAAAGTAAGCCGGGCAGTGGTGGCACACACCTTTAATCCCAGCACTCGGGAGGCTGAGCCAGGTGGATCTCTGTGAGTTCGAAGCCAGCCTGATCTACAGAGCGAGATCCAGGACAGACACCAAAACTACACAGAGAAACCCTGTCTGGAAAAACAAAAACAAAAAAAGTGAAAAAAAATATAGTAAAGACCATAGTTGAATTTACAGAGATGAAAATGCTAGAAATAAAAAACATAATGAATGGTGGGTGCTGGGGGTCAGCTTCGGCAGTTGACAGGTTCCAGAGAGGAGGCAAGGAGTAGCCGAGGGAGGATTGAGACAGGCCATGGTGATTGGGAGAATCTTGCAGCCCGACTAACTAGCAGTCAGAATGTTTCCAGACATGTGCTTAACTTTTTCTCTTGCACATCTGGAGCCATAAGTTTAATCATCATTGATAAACCAAGAAAGAACAGAGTTATCTTTTACAATCATTTTCCCTCAAATTTAGTCATCATTGATAATTATCTTTTATAATTATTTTTACTCATCAACCCCATAACCCAATGTTTAAGAATCCAAAGGCACGTGATAGGTTGTTCTCAAGCTGGTAGCGCTTGTGGCTTTGGTACGCTAGACAGAAAGAAAAACCTCCAAGCCAACCTTGGGCAGATTGCCATGTCCCAAGCAGTGTATTATTAACTCTTAATGGTCAGAGTGCCCAAGAAAAATCCTCAGACCAAAGCTGCTACAGTTACTATTCAAATTCTGGCACAATACAATGTTTATATTTATCTTTATAGAATTTGTTTATATGTCTAATCCTGGCATTCAGTTGTTCCTTGGTCATAAGACCAAGTGGCTCTGTGCGAGCTAACTTTTCTAAGAAAGGGAGGTCCTGACACCTCATTCTTTTATCATCCTTTTACATCATTTTCTGTCCATCAATATAAGTCTCTGTGTAGGGCAGAGGTAACTCCAGCTAATCTAATTTTGTTGCCTGTATATGCCACATATCATCTGAGCATATAGTAGGAAGAGGCTTTTAATCTGATCTATTGTCAACTTCTAGCCAAATCTTGTTGACCTTTTTTTTTACTTTGTTTTGATTATCTTGTTCCTGAATAAGTACAGGGACAGATGTTATAAAACTATCTCACAGCCTCATAAAGAGACCTATAGCTACTTTACATGTGTCACAACCTCCAAGGCTTAAGGAAGACCTTCAAGTAGATAAGGCTATCTTAAAAGCAAGAGAGGTAGTGTGCTCAGGACTTTCCTGGGGAAGCTTAGAAGCACTACTCCCGGAAGAAAGCATAAATGATTCTTAAGAGATTTCCCATCAATCCAGTATCCTCAAATTGTACAACTATTAAAAGCTCCCCAAACATGCAACATGTGAAGATCAAGGCCAAAAGTGGCACGTCAGTCAACAGGTGGCTCAGCTTTGCTGGAAGCACCTGTGCTGGCTTAATGACTTTGCCATTCCCATCAGCTATGGCTTCACCAGAAAAGGATTTATTGAAGATCATATACTAGTCCTCACAGATTAAGAAACTAAGATATATAGGGCAAATGAAATCCTAATTGGTAGAAGAGAATTAACAAAAATCAGAGAAATCAACAACATGGAAATTGTAAAACAGCAAATGGGGGGGGGGATCAATGACTCTAAGAAAGCCAGTTTGTCAAAAATCAAAAGAAGGGGCTGGAGATGGCTCAGGGGGTTAAGTGTTTGCTGCACAAGAATGAGGCTCCTGAGTTTGGATCCTCAGCACCCACCTAAGGGCAGGGTGTGGCAGGTCTCTATCATCAGCACCAGGGAAGGGAGCAAGCTAGATGGCCGGTCTATCTGCAAGCTCCAGGTTCAGTAAGCTGCGTCAAAAAATAAGGTAGAGGAGAGGGCTACTGAGATGGTTCAGCTAGAAAAAGCAACTGTCACTCAAGCCTGACAAACTGTGTTAGACCCCTAGACCCACAAAAACAAACAACACGGTGGCTAGCCTCTGTGACCCCAGGGCTCCTACAGTAAGAGACAGAAGAACCTCCTTGGAGGCTCAAAGACCAGAAAATGGCCTAGAATCTTGTGGGCCAGCTAGCACAGAGCATGAAAGTCAAAGCAGAAGCAAGACAGACACTGCCTCAAAGGAGAGGTTAAAGGAAAAAGCATTACTCCAGAAAGTTGTCCTTTGACTCCACATGCAGATACTTGTGCCTGCGCGTGCGCGCGAGCGTGTACACACACACACACACACACACACACACACACACACACACATCACAAAGGTATCAGGTACTCTACTGA